AGAGAAGAAATGGAAATCTGCGGAGCTAAAATGGATGCCAACAGATCCTATTACAACAAAGAAGTCGAGAAAAGAGCTAGCTATGCAGGTAGCAAAGTCTGGAGGGTGGGGTACCTGGGTAATGAATCGGATTTTGAAACAAGAGGTGGAATATATAAAAACAGGAAAGCTTCCAGCACCAAAGCAAGGGAAGCACATTAAGGTTGCAAGCTGGTTAACAGATGAGGGAACAATGCTTGCAATGCGTGAGTATATATCATTTGCTGGTGAAGGTATGCCTTTGTATATTTAATTGTTCTGAATTGTAATCAAATATCTAATAAGCAGTGTAATTTCCTAGCAATGACATCTGCTGGACTAGCACGTGCAGTAACAGCTTATTGGACAGCAACATACGAGGAAGAGCTGCTAGAAGAAGGTACCCAATTACCAATCATATCAGTTACAGGTATGCAGCGGCGAATTAAACATGCTCTGTCAAGTCGATCAGCCTGAGCCTGGTTGTTAAAACTGGGATGGAATTAGAAGGAAGTGAAGAAAGGAATTTACAAAGATGGTCATGAGAGAGAAGACGTAAAGACATATCGCCAAAATGTTTTTCTTCCTCGAATGGAATCCCTGAAATCTAAATTGATGGAGTGGGATGAGAATCTTGGTTCCATTAACACAGAACAACTTATTGCAACTGGTATGAAGCTTGTTGTATTTGTCACACATGATGAATACACATTTAACTCCAATGATGGACAAAAGAGAATCTGAATACACGAGGACAAAGTACCAATATGTAAAAAGGGTCGTGGTCAGGGACTACATGTCTCTGATTTTGTAACTCCAGTGGGAAGACTGGGTGGTGGAGAAGTTTGTGAGATTTTGAAGTGTGGTGGAGATGTTTGGTGGACGGGAGAGTTGTTGTTGAAACAACTGATAGAGAAAGCAATTCCCTTATTCGAAGCATCCTTTCCAGGATGTCAGGCATTATTTGCCTTTGACAATGCTAAGATTCATCAAAAATATGCATCTGATGCACTTCAAGTTACGAGTATGAATCTAACACCTGGCGGCAAAAATACTCAGCCAATGCGGGACTCGGATGGATATTTCATCAAGCCAGTAGAACCGAATATAATACATCAACAGTCAATGATGTTACCAGATGGTTGGTTAAAGGGACTGAGGATTGTGTTAGAAGAACGAGGCCTTTGGCCAGAAGGAAGAAGATTCCTTACTCAATGCTTGATTGCTGGGAATAAGCCTGGTGAAAAGAAATTAAATCCTGTATGCCGGCATGCTAGCAATGCAAATTGTTGTGCACGAGCATTACTTTCATCACAACCTGACTTCCAGGCACAAAAGTGTCAAATCCAGGAAGTTATTGAAGCTGCAGGACATCAGATTATTTTCTATCCTGCCTTTCACTGCGAGCTTAACTTTATTGAATATTTCTGGGGCCGTGCTAAGTTGTATACACGGGCTTACTGTGAATATACATTTTCTTCATTGGTAAAAATGGTACCAGAGGCATTGGCCAAAGTTCCAGATGAATTGATCTGAAAATATTATCAAAGAACATTGCGGATGATGGATGCATACAGAAACAACATAGTATATGGTTCTGAAGACTTCAAGCGGTATGTTTATACATGGTATTCATCCCATCAATGTCTTGCAGAATCTGACCTTCATGTATAACTGTTTAATCTCTGTAGTTAATTTTTTATTTGCTAGTTTATGATTGCTTTTTGAACCAGCTTTTAAAAGTATTGTCTATCTTAATTACTTAATATTACAACTTATCATCAAATTAATTTAGCTTGAAATGATTTTTTAGACCTTATCCTGAAGTCTGCATACCAGAGGATAAAATACAAACTAAAGGACAGAAAGATTAGAGTACCCAGATTAAAGGGGTAGGGCAAAGGTTAAATACAGTGTTACGGTTGCCGTTGCAGCAGGAATCGTCACATTTTTGGTGTGAAAGTTGGTATAGTGACTAGCCTTCCGGAACCATACAAATAAAATGATTCTTCTAAGGGGAAAAACACGAGAAACTATCTACAAGTCCGATTCACACCAAACATCACCCATTTCCCATCCCTGTGGGTCCTTGCCCCGCTGAAGTGCCAGAATATTCGCCATTTTTTTAACAATCATATTGTGCCATTAGCAGGTTGTGCCATCAGCTAATCTCACTACACTCTGGCGTTTCATAGTGCCGTGCCGGGCACTTCTGGTGCCAACAACGCTACTCATGGCGCGTCCCCTCCTGGACCAAAGGGGCTCGCACATTTCACCCCCCGGCGAAGTCAGGCACTATGACTCCAGTGGTTAGTCCTGACACGGCCCGGTGCTAAAGTGCCGGGCCGGTAAGGCTGGCGGGAATACCGGTAGTGAAGTAGCATAGGATCCATCCCCATCCCATGTCTCTTGAACCGCTCCACCTTGCGGTGCCTTATCGTGCGCTTATGTGCGGGGTCTGGCCAACCCCGATTCCAGAATTAGGCCTCTCAGATTAGCGAGGGAGAAAAAATGCAACGTTTGCGGGGCGGGCATTGAACTCCGGGATCCGAAAGCTGGTTGGGTAAATACAGGCGCGACCTCCCCCCCCCTGGAAAAAAGTGAGTGGGTATGATACAACGCAGTTTACACCAAAAACCGCCATATTAAAAATAGTACAACTTCACAGAATTGGAACCCCAACCGAATCTAAATCTAAAGAGCAGTAGCCACAGGCAGCGAAACTTTCCTCAAACCTGTGCCAAGACAGGTGCTTTTGGCGGGAAAGCTGTGTCTTGGCGGAATTTGAAAGCTCAACGGTGTGTGATACGGTACGGTAAATTTACTATTGTGGGGTTAGGAATTGGGTGGAAATCTGTATATAGAAAGTGATGCCATCACTGTTTTCGGTGGTTCCGTGGGTACCGTATGTGCCGTACCGTAGTTCGTATTTCTGTGAATTTTCTTCGGCGGAACATCTTGGAGCGAAATCTGGCACCGGGATTTTTGCGGTAAAATTGCACTTCACGTGCCCATTCACTCGTTGGGTCCCACTTGTATGATGGGAAATCTGCCATACCGTCGTCCCCGGATTTCGATTTTTGTGACAGGGGATGAGTTGGAAGATCTTGGCTGCGCGATCCAAGACAGGCAGATGTGGGTTTACGGCGCTGCTGAGGCTCCAGTCTCCAAGCTTTGTTCCCGCACAAACACACGCTGCGATGCGGAGCCGTCATACGGCCAGCTATCCTCACCCCTCTCGCCGTCAGAATTGCACTGTAGAAGGAGAAAGATAGCGGTAGATTCAAACCATCCCTTTCGAGTCTCCTCCCACCAGTGCAGCTCTCCTAAGGCCAGCAGCCCTCTGTGCCTCTCCGTCCGTAGCTCTCTATCCTTCTCCTCTTTTCCTTCCCCAGCGTTGTGAACACGCGTCCTTAATTGCTAGGCATCTCTTTCCTCCTGCTCTACTTCTACCTCTTTGTCCCCCCCTCCCCCTCCCTCCCTCATCATCGTCCACCTACCTCTCCACAATCATAAACAATCCCCCCCGGCCCGCAAATAAGGGGGAAACAGGAAACAACGCAACGAACGGCGCCATTCGCACACTGACACTCATGCCGCCCGGTCCACTCACTCGCTTTGTAGCCTCGGCTCTATTCTACCTGGGGCAGGCTCTCCCGTTTATTCCCACATACATCCATCTTATCACCACTGCACTCTTACCCATTGTTACCGGTTCATTTGCGTCCCTCAAACGTCCCGGAAACGCCGCTCGTCCTCCACCTGAGCATCGAAACTTTGACGAGGTCGATGCCGAAAGAGAGGATGAACCGTCTCATGTGGAGAACCTGACAGCATCCGACGCCCTGTGGTTCCCCGTGACCGCTGGTCTTTGTCTCGGGTCTCTCTACTTGATCATTAAATACCTCGATGATCCCTCCATAATCAACAAGATTCTCACCTGGTACTTCTGCGGAATGGGAGCGTTTGCTATTGCGAAGGGCTTCTCGGATTCCCTTGGCGTGCTTGTGACATACGTTTTCCCGAGACGCTACCGTTCGAGGAAGGATGGGAAGCTCTACGTTGCCGGCTATAACTCCTACAGGGTCAAGGGAGGTGAGAGTGTCGAGAATGGGAACCCATCTGTATCTCTTATTCCCCAGTTCGTGGTCGAATCAATGTGGTCGCTTCGTAGGGCTCTCTATGCGAGATATACGCTGGTGGGCGGTAGCACCAAGAATCCAACATTCAAGGCAACATTCTGGGTGGGAGATCTTGCTGGCCTGGTGGCCGGGATCCTTGCTGTGGGGACTTATGCGCTCGGGGGAAAGCACTGGTTATTGACCAATATCATGGGCACCAGCTTTGCGTATGGAGCTGTGCAGGTTGGTGCACCCCTTCATGGCCTTCCGGGACTTGGTGCTAATCATTGTCTGCTGCAGCTGTTATCCCCAACTACGTTCACGACCGCATCCATCTTGCTCGGTGCTCTTTTCTTCTATGATATATTTTTCGTTTTCTATACCCCAATGATGGTTACCGTCGCTACAACTCTCGACGTCCCTATCAAGCTGCTTTTTCCTCGCCCAAGTGCGTCGCCCAGTAGCGCACAAGCATTAGCAATGCTCGGCTTGGGCGACGTTGTGATCCCGGGCCTAGTCATTGCCATGGCGCTACGGTATGATTTGTGGAGGTTCTACGAAAAGAAGCGTCTTCTAAACCTGGCCGATGCCGAGAAGGAGCAATCCGCCGCACTCGTCGATGCTGATGGACACGACCTAAAGCGAAGGAAGAAGGATCTTGCGGAGAAGGCCAAAGAGACCTATGTGAAAGTAGCCGGTAATTGGGGAGAGAGATATTGGACCGCAGACGAAGACGGAGCGGAATTCAGCAAATTCTACTTTTACATGTCTCTAGGGGGATACTTTGTGGGTATGCTCACAACACTTGTAGTCATGCATGTGTTTAAACACGCTCAGCCTGCCTTGTTGTATCTTGTCCCAGGAGTGTTGGGCAGCGTTTGGCTGGGTGCTCTGATGAAAGGAGAGCTTGGGGTAATGTGGAATTACAGCGAGGAAGAAGAAGCCTCCGGTCCGGATACTCCTACTACGGATGGAGACCCAATGGAGGCCGAGGGGAAAAAGAACGGGCCCGATATGGAATCGACTATGAAGGAGCAGAAAGCGGGGATCTCGGAGGAAGAAGCTTCAGCAGAACTGGTTGAAACTGTGCAGGATGAAGAGTGGATGAGGATTACCCTCACCAAGAGGTCAACAACATTGCGGCCACTGGCGAAATCCAATTCTTGTTCTGAGGTGGATAGCGATTCCTCTAGTGCTTCGATGTCCATCTCCACTGTGAGCTCTGTTTCTGAAGGCGAATGATGGACAGGAGTCATGTAAATTAATAATTTTGCAAATCTCATACTTTGTTTTTTCTCTTTTTCTCTTCTCTCGCGTCTAAAGACTGTAGATGGGTGGGTGGGGTTAGGGGGTTGGGATCTTTGCTTTTTTTCCCCGTTTTCTTTCTCGTTTAGCTGCTGCTTGTTGTTCCCTTCTGATGTATATAACATGATAGAAGTTCCTTTTTGTTTTCGTATTGCTCGTGAAAGATCCAGTAACATGTCTAACTTATCGGATGCTACAAGCACAAAATGCGAGGTGGTTTAAGACATCCTGATCATAACTATTGTGGCCTTAAAGGTTCAAAATGACGGTGGAGACCACCGGTATGGATGGCCTGTCAGTATTAAATCACTGCCCATAATGGCTACTCGAGTATGCGGTACTCAAGTACACAGGGGGTGTTAGGCGTTAGCTGTGTCATATCCGGGTTGCGAAGGTATTAGGCAATGATCCCGAATCGAGAGATAAGGCGGCACTATTAACATATTTTTATATACCAATCATGTCCAGAAGAGGAGAGAAAAATTGTATAGCACAGCCACACCCCAAAGTCCCCGCACCCTTCCAACCACTATAATACCGTGCCAGCTCTTGGAAACGCCCCGCCCGCCCTCTCCTTCTATTGTTCGGTAGGAGACAAATTGTGACATGCGATAAGTCTGCAATGTGCCTAGAGGGATATCCGAAAACGGTCGTCTAAAAGGGTCTGGTTGTTGATAGTTATTGTCCTCGGGGGTAACTTACAGTACGGTACAGTACAATGAAGGGTATGAGAACTTTTTCTATTTCCATTTTTAAAATTTCGACCACTCCCTTCCCAGAGGTGGCTCCTCACTTGTTCTCGGTGAACGTCTTAGGTTTCGTGCGCAGGCACAGCTGTCCCGCATCGATACGGGCAGTCAGACTACTCGAGTATCCAATTGATAAACACTCGCGCCAAGTCACCAACGACGGTTGATCACGTAATGGCGGACGAGTTTCCCTCGCCTCGACACCTTTGTCCCCACACCGTTGCAACACCTTTCATACGAGAAACCGACACCACCCACGATCACAATGCCACGACCAAACAAGCGAACCTTAGCCTGTCGGCGGGCGTCAGGAATTGGGCGTGCAAAAAGACTACGGCAGGAGAGAGTAGTTGGTGCACTAGCGCCCATAACTTCACAGGCAAGGATCGCGACCAAAACGGAGGACGAGGAAGGAGAAGAAGAGGATCACAGTGATACCGAGGAGGAGGAGGAGGAGGGCAGAGATCGAGAGCAGCGGGATGCAGATCAGAATGGACATGAATTGGAGGCCCAGGTCGGGGAAGTGGGGGGTGGACCGGAGCTTTATTCCAATTTCTCACCGCTAGCTTATCGACCTACCCCAATTCAAACACCCGTGCCAATACCCGCGTCCCCACCAGCACCCACCACAACCTCACCAACAGCTCCCGTGGCCCCTGTAGCCCCCGTAGCGCTAATCGAGGATCCAGCGCCCGACACGCAGAATAGTGATGGCCATGAGAACGGACTTGAACAAACCGAAGGACTTGAGGAGCCCACCGTCACACCATTCACGCCTGTCAACCCCCTAAACAAACCCATTCCGATCCCATCATCCAGCGCTGCAGCCGTCACAAAAACCCCTTGTCGGCAGACCCTCTGGCGCCGCCGTAAGAGGGCAGAAGCCGCAGCTGCGGCAGCCGCGGCAGTAGCCATCACCGCTGCTACTCCAGAAGCGCCTCCCCCACCGGATACCCCGACTGCCATATCGCTCACGCACGCACAGGAGTTGAATGCGGCGCTAGCTCGCTGGCCGAGGGCTGTTCCCCAGGATATCAAACGTGAGATCCTGCTGGCTGCGGCCAACGATATGGAGAAATTGCTCAAATCGAAGACTCTCACTCCCACTGGTCAGGACCTTGTTCGTCATCAGCAGGTTTTACAATTCATCAATGCTCAACTAAAGAACTCGCGGAACGCTCCCAGAATGGAGATCGCGGAGTTGGTGGCTAGCACTTATCGCAAGGGCAGGGACGTTGCGGAGAGGATTGTCAAAACCGAGAAGGAGTGGGTCAAGAATAGGGTTGTGCCGTCCGGGAAGCAAGGGAGGACGGCAAAGGTTCCTAGCATGATTGAGGATCAGGCGACTAGGAGGGTTGTGGAGCAGTATATTGAGAAAGCGGTTCGGGAAGAAGGTGTGTTTGTTGCTTCCTCCCCTGCTTTCCTCTTGGCTGGAGATACTTATCAGGAATAGGCATCTCGTCGCAGGGTTTGGTGAAAGCCGTGACGGACTACTGGCAGTCGCTAGAGTCACAGGATTCCATTCGGAATAGGATTCGGGATGAGGAAGACGATGGCGAAGATGACGATCAAGCTGAAGCCCCGGCACAGGGCCCCACTGCACCGAAGAAGCTCTCTATCACTACTAAGACCGCCACCAGGTGGTTGCAGTTAATGGGGTACACCTTCAAGGATGGAAAATATCACTTGAAGGGCGAGATAGTTGCCAAGACGCCAAAGTCATTGGAGAATCACGCCCACCAGCAACAACAAATTCAACAGATGCAGCAGGAGCTCCAGGCGCATGCTGCTGCATCAAGCGCACAGCCGCCAACAACTCCCGGACCTTCTCAACACTCCCAGCACTCGCAAGCGCCAGGATCGCCTCCACCGCCGGGACAGCCGCCGTCTTCATCGAGCGAGTTTTCGGGATTCAATTGGCAGGGATCTGGGTAGTTTCTTTTAGCTAGGAAGTTTTCCCCTTTTTTTCTTCTCTTTCTTTACTCTACTTTCCTTCGCTTCATTTGGTCCCTGGGGTGTTCTGGGTTTGTTCATTGTGTAACTCTACTTTATCTGATGACTTGACGTGCTCCTTTGTCCTCCGAATCACAGACCGCGCCGCAGAGTCTGGTGATTCCATATATATAGCTAATATAAGGTCGGGTCTTCTGTGCACGTGTGGTACGAGCTATCCATAGAGAACCAATCGCAAGCGCAACGCCAAAGTAGATGCTTTTCGCTTTCGTTATGATATGACCAAACCATTATCCCTTTCCCTCTGATACATAGCGCATCACAAACCTAACTTGTCCTACCCGCAATCAACTCCAAAGCGTCCTCGGGAACTCCAACAACACTCCCTAACCTCCTCCCATAAAACTCCATGATCGGCAACAACTCGCCCCGAGTCTGCATCATCCCGTCCTCCTTCCTCCCCTTCCACCTGACAGTCCTGGCGTCCTCAAACAGCTCCTCCAACCTCCTCTCCCCAGCCTGAGAAATCACACTCCCCTCCTCCGCGGCACAAACAAGCACAGGAGTCCTACACTTCTCCCCTTCTTCCACCTCCACCTTTGCCGGTGCGCCCGCACCAACACTCACGACCCCACCAAACTCCATTCCTGGCCGCGAGAGCACAAAATCCAACGCGGCCATGCCGCCTTGCGCATACCCGAAGAAGAATATCCCGCGTGTGCGCCACCCGCACCTCCCGACCAGTGCGTCGTCGACGATTCCCGCGAGGAGCGTGCGGGTCTTCGTGAACCCCGCATCAGAATCCAGTCCGCCGGGGGAGTTATCGAAAATGACGTCGTCGCCCCAGTGATAGGCTTCCTGCGTGATAGGAAGGGAGTTGGGAGCTTGGATTGCGAGGACGGCGGTCTCGGGGAGGGCGAGTTGGGTGCCGAGGGTTGTGAAGGAGTTGTGTAGATCGCCTAGACCGTGCATGAGGATTAGGATGTTGGTTGGTGGGGGGGTGGTGGCAGGAGATGGGAGGGTGTAGACGAGGGATTCTGGAAAGTCGTCTTTTGCGGGGATTGAGGGAGCGGTCGCCATTTTCTCTCTCTCTCTCTCTCTCTCTCTCCTCCCTCTGTGATGTATCTGCTCTAGATAGCTGGTACTG